TGGCCACGTTGGACCTTTGACAAGAAATCTCGTGCTATCATCCTTGATGGGCTGCATCTGTGCTTCTTGGTTTGTCCTATGACTAATATTTTTAAGGTCTCCTGCAATTCGAATGTTGTTAATTATTCTTTCTCTGAACCCTTATGAATGAAGAGCGGTTTCTGAGCTTTGCAATTAGAAAAAAAAAGGTCTCTGTTGCCGGTGTAGACTGTATTTACTTTTTGCTAAGCACAGCTGGTTGTGTAGTGGGTCTGTCCAGGTTAATGAGGGCAATATATAACTTGCTGAGAGCATTAACTGTGAGAGCAAATGGAATAAAAGCAATAATCTACCTACGACTGCTATTTTCTGATAGCCATTGGTTTATGATTGACTTGCAATGAGCTTCTTCGTTCCCTTGTGAATGGCTCGTGCAGATCCACACGGATGGCTCAGAAAAGGGCCGGCCCTACCGTGGAGGCAAACTGGACAAATTGTTCAGGGTGCTTAAGGTCGGGTCTATCAGCAGCTAGCGCTGTTGCCATGGAGTGGCGTAGGCAACAGGGGCAAGAAAAATTGTTTGCACTGCTTTGGGGGCCCTTTCTGATCTGCATCCACGGCTAACTTCAGGCATAGACTCCCGTCAAAGAAGATGCCTTCCTTCTGTTGTGCCTCTGAGCATGGGCAGAGTGCCGAGGATAAACCTGCACAAGCCAGAGCATCAAAAAGGCTAGACAGTTTTCAGAGGCTGGAAATGTTAAAGCAGAAGGTGTTCGGCACACGCCCAGAGACACTCTTTCACTGCTGCTTCACACTAATTTATCCTGAACACTCTTGTTGCTGGCAAACAGAAAACTAGCATCACGTGACAACTGAACTAGACCTGACGAGACAAAGATGGAAACTCCTGATAAAAAAGCTCACGGACCAATCTTGGGCATTTTCTGTCTCACACTAACCTACCTCATAGGGCTGTTGTGAGTCTGAAAATTCAGAGAAAGACCACGGCCCCGTCAGAGGATGGGTGCTATATAAACACACCACAAATATAAACAAATGTCATGCTACTGTTATGCTGTTTGCTGTACAAGGCACTGGAAGGGGGGAATTAATTTGTCTAATGTGTAAAAGCAAAAGCGGCAGAAACTGCGCTGTGCGCGTCTCCTTTATCGCTTGCGTGCATCAAACACTGGAGTGGAATAATGGGTTGAGCGGCAACCTCTGTATTTTCCCAGTGATCTGTGCTAACTCTCTTGGCATTCTCGGGCGGATTTTGCCGGTCACTGCCCAAGTCTCGTAAAAATAAAAAGGCCAGTGTGTTCAAACAACCCTAATGTTTAAAAAAAAACATTGACCTGGCTCTGCTTTTCCTCCTGGCTTTTGCTGTTAAGCATCGTTCCATGTTTACAGAAGCAACCTGCGTTATTTTCAGACCTGGGCACACAAGATGTAGCCTAATATTTGCTCATAGTCTTTCTGGATCCGGTTCGTGCCAAGTTTTTATATAAAAAAGTGACGTGACCGTTCCAGCCAATCGCGCTTAAAGCATTGTGCTCCACCACCCCCTTCAAAGCAGTATTATGTTAATATCTGCAACAAATATAACCTGTGTAAGGTAAGGAGTATTTTCAGACCTGGGCACACAAGATGTAGCCTAATATTTGCTCATAGTCTTTCTGGATCCGGTTCGTGCCAAGTTTTTATATAAAAAAGTGACGTGACCGTTCCAGCCAATCGCGCTTAAAGCATTGTGCTCCACCACCCCCTTCAAAGCAGTATTATGTTAATATCTGCAACAAATATAACCTGTGTAAGGTAAGGAGGTGTACCTTTTTTTTTTTTTTTTTTTTTGCTCATGAAGCAAACAAGAGCTGGGGGGTGGGTCACAGAATTAATTACTACCAGCTTCCTGGAGGACAAGTAAACACACTCAAGTTTCTAGACCTTAAGATTCACCGGAAAAGGCGTGAAAGAATGCATGAGTGAGAACACTTCAGAAGTCCCACTTCATTTCACAGAAGAAAAAGAGAATTCCTCAATGCAAGCTTGACTTAACTGGATTTAGAAAAATTACACAAGTCATCATCTTTGAACAGAATATGCTCGACCAGGCTACGGAACAGCGCTAGGAAAAATTACCCCTGTGCGGTTTTACTTCCCAGAATCCCCCCCAGCTGTTTCGGAGTCTCGGCTCCAAAAAAGTCATGCTTCCAAAATGGAATTTCAAGAGGCCTTAAAGAGTTACAAGGGGCATACACAGAGTTCTGGAAGGCAGCCAGATATGAAACAATATGAAATGTCATCTGGAGGGTTTGATATAAAAATAGGACAGATCAAACAAGGGAAAAAAAATTAAGGGTTGCACCATTTCTAAACTAAAAATGCAAGAGACTTTCACCATAGCCTGCTGCAGCTCAGTAATTCCCTAGTGATTTTTCCCCCAGAAGAGGTTTTAGATCATTCTGATATAAACTTTGACATAAATCTCATACCCTTTAGGAGCTATTGCTCAGTATAATGAATGTTGCAAGTTTTGTATTGCTTTATTCTTTTATATTGTTCAGTTTGTTAGTCTTTGACCGTACGTGAATAAATGCAGTTCAGTTCCAACCATAAAAATACACTTTGAGCTCCTGAAGGTTTGGTTGTCTGTTTGTCAGCTTATCTGGTTGGATCACTCAATGGTTGACGTATTTGGATGTGGAGCCAGAGGTTGGGAGTTTGATTTCTAGGAGAAGAGCCAGCCTGGGTAGCCTTGGGCAAGCTGCACCGTCCCAGGGTGCCTCTAGAGGAAGGAAAGGGTAATGCACTTCTGAGTATTTACTCTCTCCTTGGGAGAAATCCTGAAAAGGGTGACCATAAGTCAGAATGGTTTTGACAGCACATGATTATCTGCTTATAGTGCCAGGCAAACAGTCCTAAACTTATGAGACCCACCGTTTCTTGAAGCACTTTCGCCAACCCAAGAAAAGCTGTCAGGGCTTTATCTGGACTGCCAACATGAGATTCAAAACAATAATAATTAATTATCAAGGTCAGTCATAGGAACCTCCTGTAATCACGAGTGTTTCCAAAGCAAACCAATTAGTGCCTGATAGTGAGATCAGAGAGCTGAACGTACTTTCCTCCTACAATATATTGCCATTAGTAACGAATCGAAGAACTTTAAACTGATGCTTAACAGGAAGGGCTGTTTTTATCGGGTGGCTGCATGTGAAAAGTTAAGACGTGGCTGTCTTTCGTTGACTGGACTCTGCGGATTACGGTCCAAGGCTTTGCAGCATAATATGGTTTATTTCACAGTTGGATGGGTCCTCCAGAGATCAGTGTAATGGTGTCCCAAAAGCATTAACAACCTTTTGAGACTCCTAAAAGTCTTGGATAGTTAGAGAGCGGGTCTGGGAGTTGGGAGATCAAGGTTCTCGGCCCCAATGAATTACGAAATTCAGGCCAGTCATCCCTGGCCAGCTCAGGAGTTACCATGAAGACATTGGATGTTATTCCTCCACATTCATGACACACAGAAAAAACAAAATGCACAGGAGGGGACAGGGGGGAGCCCTGGTGGTCTCTTGTGACTTCCATTCCATTTTGAGCAAGACAAGGAGTGAAGCACTGTCATCAGAACTCATGAGACTTCCTGTTGCTCAATTGCTAGCAATGGCTGGGAAGGGTTTGGGGGGGAAATACCACATTTGGCCTGGTGTGTACCTTCCACATGCCGCACAGCATCATAGGATCTCATTTGCCAGGTGTATTTTTTATTAATTTTTATTTATTTAATTTATACCCCGCCTATCTGGTCGGTGAGGACCACTCCAGGTGGCTAACAACAAAAAACAATACAATAAAAATACAAATAAACGATTCTAAATGATAAAAGGTGTCCCATGGATGCCATGTTATGTGTTTAGCCAGGTTTTACAAAGATTCTGAACCTATATCCCTGTTTCCAAGTTTCGACAATCAGTTGGACCCAAAACAGTTTTGTGTCTGCCCAAAGCTTACCTTGTGATATTACAGGACACCATAACTCCCTGCTTTTGTTCCCCAAATCTCTGGGAATAGGGTGTAACCTTATCCTTGGCAAAGCAACTGAAACCCATTCCCTGTCCCTCATTCCCATGCACCTTGCACGTGCTGCTCTGGACAGAACCCACGGAGAGCAATCTAGAGAATAAAGTTCTTGATGAGGTTCTCAAGAGTTGCTTAACCAGGAGTCGTTTACCCAGCCCTCCCCCCAAGTAACCAAGGCCACACAGGACTAACCCCTGTGTAAAAGAAACTGCCCAATATTAATCTCCTTTTGTATTCCTGAACCGGTGACTTAATGATAGAGTTACACAACTCTAGCAGCCGTCCGTACTAGGTCTTAATCGGGACTGATTCCCTCCCACACCGGGTCAGGCAGCCCTTCGCACAGCGATGCCATAAAAGAATCAGGTGCTCATTATAAATCAGAGTTCATGAAAACGCAGGCAGGTTCTCTAGAAAACCAGAGACAGTTTATCGCAGCCCTCAATTAATCTAATATCTTGACGATGAGACGCAAGAGGTGCTATTTCCTGCCAATCACTTGACTTCTGCATGGCCCGCATTGTGCTGGATTGCAGCTACGCATGTGCCAACCATGTGCAATCCATCAGGTACAATACACTCTGCAGTGGGTCTCTTAACCCAGGCAATTGCGTTTGGATAGGATGCTGAACGGAGCCAAGTGAGGCAGGCCCTAACATTAGGCGGAAGGCTAGTTTTCAGTCCCTGTCGGCCATCGTCTGGCTGGGCAGGCACCATTATCTGCAGAGGGTGCAGTAAAAATTCACATGTCCCTCCCAAATCACAGTTAGACGTTTATGCCGGTTTCAAAAGCAGGGTGGCAAAGTCAAGCTAGGAATCATGGTTTAAGATTCCACCTTGTTAGAACCATTCCCTAGGGATTTCAACTTTGCAAATTCATAACAGTTTTTCCCCCCTACACACCCAAGAGCAGGAGGGGAATATACTCCTCTTCTGTAACTTACCCCTTTCTTGGCTGTGGAGGTCAGCGTCTGCTTGGATCCTTTCTCCATTGCCACACGGGAAGGATGGGCAATTAAAAGGGACTGTGTGTGAGGTTTAGCAGCAAGGAGAGAGAGCAGAGAAATGCTAAAAAGTGGGACGGCGCCCAGTCTTTTGCCTCCTGCACTTTGGCTTTGTCCGAGACGCTGGGATTGCTTAATAGCCCTCTTGGACCTTGGAGTAGCCGCCTGCTCCCTCAAGGGGATGATGGAAAGAGTTTTGCCAATAATTACAAGCCTCTGTGTTTCTCAGCTGGGTTTTGTTTTATTTATTTATTTCAGGAGGGGGCTGATGCTCTTGGCAACTGAATTAAGATGGTTCCTGTAATATCCCTTCTTTTGGAGACTCGGGTGTTATGCAATACGTTTGTTGGATAGACAAGAAAAATCGTGACCTTAACGGACCCTGCTTGGTGGGTAGGGCTTATCTTAAGACATAGGAGGAAGGATTGAGCTGCCAAAAGCTTCATGTTTCGATCCTGCTGGTCTTGTTCTCTTTGCTTGGGACCAGCAGGACGGAGGATTGCGGGAGGGGGGAGAATAGATGTGTGGGTGGGTACCGGGACTGCCGGAGAGCTCACAGGTTGAGGATCTCTGGCTGTGGAGCCAGAGGCTGGGAGTTCGATTCCCCTCTAGGCCTCCTTGACAGGGGCTAGACTGGATGATCCATAGGGCATCTTCCAGCTCTGCAGTTCCAAGATGATGATGATGATTATAAAACACATGGGAAGCAGACAAAAACATCCAACTCTGGCAGAGCACGTAGTGGCACCCCAAGCTGTGTGTGCAGGACCTTAATCCATTCCTTATACCTGCAGCTCTGTTCTGTGATTTTGGAGGATAACCCCCCCGCGCCCGCGCATATGCCAGGTTGCATCATCTGTATTTTAGTGTGTTGGCTGCTAGGAACTTTTGAGCCAAATCTGGCTGAAGGCAGCCTGCCAGTTGCGCTATCCGTTGCAAAAAGAAAGCGGAAATTGATGCCATCTTGGTTTTATTTTACATATAACACGAGGGAGCTATGCGTATTATACCTAACGCCAGAGCTTCACTGCTAGGGAAGACAATGGTGTCTAATTGTCCTGTTGGTTCCATGCTGAGTTGATTGTTTTATGATTCTTTCTGCTTCCAAAATAATATTCCCCTCCCCCTTGGTGTAGACAGCAAATAGAGACATGCTATTTAGATTTTTGAGACTGCAAATCTCAGAATTTTCGGTTCCGTAAGTTCCACCTGGCCTACCCACACCTAAATTTTGCTCGCCTGGAGAAAGGTCTAGCTTGAAGTCTCCGCGGCCTAGCATAGGCCTAGCTTGGCGGAGCTTCCTGTACACCTAAATTTTGCTCACCTGGAGAAAGGTCTAGCTTGAAATCTCCGCGGCCTAGCATAGGCCTAGCCCAGCTGAGCTTCCTGTCCAAAAAAACCCAGGAAGCTTCCTGGGTGCCAGCTGGGAGACTTCCCGTCAGCAAATACCAGCCGACAGAAGTGCATTGGGCAGCCATGTCTAGAGAGAACAGCTCGCCGGCACAGCTTGCGGAAGGTGGCTGTGGTAGCGCAGGAACCGAGATGTGACCCATTAAACCCCAACCCATGCTCTGATTTCAACCATTAACTCAGGAGGTGGCTGTAAGCCAAGGGCAAAGTCTCGCTCCCTGGAAACCCAGATGTTGTCCGACTGAGTGAGGTTCCCAACTTTCTTTCCTGCTGGCCGTGGTAGTGGGGGGTGATGGGATCTGTAGTCCAACACCCTCTGCAGAAGACAGGTTGTTTGCGCCTGATGTAGACCTACCCGTCTTTCAGTTTTCAGCCTCTGTATGAAACGTAGAGGATCGGAAGGCAAGCCTTTGCTGCAGGATAGTTGTAAGCATTCTCGTGTGTGATAAATGTTGATTTAAGGAGAAAGACGCCCCCTTCCTCCTCTGCACACTCAGTCACTAATCATGTAGTGGGTGCTTGGTGCAGAACATTATAACTCCCTGGTTTCCAAACCTATGTATGGCCTTAGGTGTTCTTAAGACCACAACTCCAAGAAACCTCGGCTATGCAGATGAGGGCTCATGGATGTTGTACTCCAAGAAATCTGGGTTGTCCTAAGAATCATCTTGTATAAATGCTGGTAGGTACAATATACATGTTGTCTCCATTATTGTGGTGTGATACAAAGTCAGTGTCGAGCAGGACCCTGTAACAGTGAAGATTTTTTTCTCCCACGACAGAATAACCAACCCCTTTTTTCATTTTTTTTTCAGGATTCACACACCAGACTTGTGTTGTGGCAAAGCAGGTAATTCAAGGCACTCAGACTCTTTATTACCCTGTTTCCCTGAAAATAAGACCTAACCTGAAAACAAGCCCTAGTATGATTTTTCAGAATGCTTGTAATATAAGCCCTACCCCCATGTGGCAAAGCAGGTAATTCAAGGCACTCAAACTCTTTATTACGGTATTGTTACCACGGTGGTGATCACAAAGGGTTAATTCCATAGAGATGGCACTGCTTTTTCAGAATGCTTGTAATATAAGCCCTACCCCCAAAATAAGCCCCAGTTAAGTGAAACCCCACCCTCCACCTTTGTGTAGCATTGTGTGCAGCAACTAGAAAAAGATGGCATGGCTGTAAAATAAAACATTTCCTGAAAATAAGCCCTAATGCATTTTTGGAGCAAAAATTAATATAAGACCCTGTCCTATTTTCTGGGAAACATGGTATTGTCACTATGGTTGTGTTCACAAAGGGTTAATTCCATAGAGATGGTGCTCTTCTTTGGAGCATCAGACTTGCCAGTCGGAGGCCTTGTTCTCCGGGCCTCTGGCTCCCTCTAACGGTGCCTCAGAGCAACAGCTATTTCTGATTTTTGAAGCACACTTTCAAAAAGCTATCCTTATCCGGAGATGGGAAATATGTAGCCCTCACCACTGGCTATATTATTTAAGGTTGCAATCCCACTATTTTTCTGTATCCAGGGCCAAACATTCTCTATTTCGGCCCAATGGAGTGCAGAGATGGAAAAAGTCACATTTCTCATATTGGGTAACAATGTGATAGGAATTCCCTTACTTGGAGTTGAAATTATTTATCTTTCATCTCATATTATGGGCAGACACTTTGGCAATGTGGGTGTATTTTCTTTATTTCTTTTTTTAAAAAATTGAAAGCGAAGCCACACTAAAAAGCCTTTCCAGCTGTAGACTAGAAACGTAGATGCTCGTTTATATAAAAAGCACATTTATTTTGATTTCAGGCCATGTTTCCTATGAGACTAACTGTGACAGGATTTTAATTCTGAAATCTGGACCTAATTATAAGATGACACACATGATCACAACCACCGGCTCAGATGCCTTTTCAACAGAATTTAGGTGGTGGGGGGGGGAAAGTGCTTTGAGCAGTATCTACCAGCAAAATGAAACCTCCAGAAACTGAGGCAGTATATCTTTAAATTCTAGGTGCTGAGAATAAACACTAGGGGAGGAATTGCTACTGTTGTGCCCTGGAGATGGTGCTTGGAAACAAGCTGACGTTAGGAACACGAAATGGACTTTGATTTAGATTTAAGAGGCTGGTTTTATCGCTCTTACTCCATGCTTGGACCTGTGCAGGAGGACCTATGGGATGGTTAGCAAGAAACTAGAGAAGGAAAAAAAATTACTGGCTGATGTAATTATAAACAGGAGAGCTGTGAATTCCAGAATAGTCATTCTTGATTTATAGACACAACCTGAACGCCAGCCCGCCAGCCCCCTTTGCTATCCTAAATTCCACGTATCCCTACAAGACAGGAGGGTGGCTTTAACCATCTAGGTTTCAGAAAAGCCATTGGATCCTAGATCTTCTGTGATCTTTTCAGCCTGCTTTTACTGTAGTTATCATGGGACGCAGACCTGCCACACCTTGGGATCATTTGATTTTTTAATTTTTTTTTTTAAAAAAGTGTTTGAGAATAATAGAAAAATCTTAAACAGAATGCAAAGGAGAGCAGAGAGAGAGAACCAGAAAAAAAACAACAGCAGCAACACATCCGCATTCCGACAGAGGCGACGCAACTCAAGGGAAGAGTTACGTGGGTTTCGTGGTGGCTTTTCGTTTTTTTCTTTTAACGTTCTGCTGCACGGAACCCCTTCTCGAACTCGGGGGCAGGGAATCCCTTCTCGAACCCGGTGTCAGGGAAACCCTTCTCGAACCCGGCGGCAGGGACGGCCTTCTTGAGCTCGGTTGGGTGGAGCCCCTTCTTGAATCCTGGACTTGAATCCTTCTAGCTACGTGGGCGGTCATCAGCCTTTTAATATCCAGAAAACTCTTGCCTCTGGTTTCTGGAATAATCTTGAAGAGGAAAAGGAAGGTGCCGAAGGAGAACGGCCAGAAGATGAGGAAGCTGTAGGAGCCGAGCTGTTTCTACAGTGATGGAAACCAAAAGAAAAAAGAAAAAGAAAAAAGGGGTGGGGAAGAGAGAGAAAATGGGGAGAGTCATTTGGGCCCAGGGGTTTGTTCTCTGCATGTAATACCTCCCACAGGGGGGGGGAGAGAGAGAGAGAATGGGGAGAGTCATTTGGGGTTCGTTCTCTGCATGTAATACCTCACAGAGTTGTTGTGAAGAAGGCAGGAGAAAACAGATTTATCACATCTATGTGTCTTAGTGACGGAAACACAAGCTTGTCATCCTTGGAATTTGTGCTACGGATTACTTTCAGCCGACTAAGAGATCTTGGCCACTGTTTGGCCCCCAAAAAACATTATTCGTGGCATTTTGAGTTTGTGATGGGTTCTCTGGTCTCTTAAGGGCAGGAGAGAAAAATAGGAAGAAAGACTCTTCGTGCAAGGTAGAATCTAAAGGAGATCAAACAGAAACAGGTGTGTCCCCCCCCTTAGGTATCTTTGTTCTTACAGCAATTTGCCCAAATGCAGTGGCTTTGGAGCCGCCCCCCCCCGGCATATAAATCTCATTCTGTATATGACGGACATAGGAAAGTGATTTACAGTAGGACTCCCCGCCCATCTGTAGGATCACGATCCTCTTATTTATCCACAGTAAAAACATATTAAAATATTAAAAGGAAAAACCCTAGAAATGCATATTTCTAAAGATGAACTTACCAGAACTGTCTGCTGTAAGAACGCCAACATCTTTATATGGGGTGCGAGGGGGCCCACCTGAGCCCATTTCACCCTCTGTGGAGAGGACCTGCTGAAATAAACTCACCTCAATGTGAAGGAAAATCATCCCTGTGAGAAAATTTAAGAGCCAGTGGACAAAGCCTCCAATCGCAAAACCGGTGGACCGCGAGGACTGGAGGAATAATTCTGTTATTAGCACATTGGGCACCGGGCCTGGGCGTGAAAGAGAGATAGAAATCGAAGTTTTATGGACCCGTTCGACTGGAGCGGGCAACCCCTCTCCGGCACACACTGCCAGAATATGACACACCTGTACACACACGGACAAGTCACGGCCGAGAGAACGCAGCCCTCATGGGGAGGAAAATGTACCAGATTATATTATTATTATTCCTGCTCATAACTTGCATCTCTTCCGAAGAAGGCTTACCTGGCCCAATAATGTGACCGATGAGGAAGGCAAAGATGAGGCCAGAACTGATGTAAGACATCCAGGACATGGTGCTCTACGGGAGGAAAATGGTCATCAGAGTCCGGTCCTCTTCCTCCTCTTCCGTTCGAATCCTCCACAGAGAAGGGCTCTAAAAACTCCCCCCTCTTGTCTATTCCCTCCCCAGAGCCGCTTCACGGACGCACCAGGACCCGGCCTAGAATTGTTGACTTAGAAAAAAAGTGCCTTGAGGTCAGCTAGCCCAACCCACTGGCATGGGAGGGGGAAATAATCTGTAGTGGTTAGTGCCTGAGGTTCAGACTTGGGAGATGGGCATTCAGGGCCTGCCTGGGTCACGAAAGACACCGGGGGAGGTTGGATCAGTAGATCTTTCTCTGCATGAACTACCTCACTGGGTTGTTGTGAAGAACAGTGTCGGAAAGAGGCAGGCAACCTTGAACTCACTGGAGAAAAAGCAGTAGATAAGCATGGTGGATGAAATGACCTGAAGCAGTCGCCTCATTTTTTCCCCCAAGCTGGGTATGTCACAGAGTGGAGGTATTAAAAACCAAAGCCACTTAAACCACATATTTCAGTGTAGTTGTGCTAGACTACAATTCCCAGGGGCCACACTGCCTGGGGATAATGGGGATCTGTAGTCCAGAGGAGTAACAGTGGTAAAATTATAATAACAACCACGTAAATAACCATTTGCTGCTTTTTCTTGGCACCCCAAAACCTGTTTCCTGAGGCAGCCGCCTCATCCCGCCTCAGGTTCGGGCTGGCCATGAGTTACCTCAGTGGCTCGGCAGATTACAGTACAAACCTGAAGCTCAAGGGTCATGGTTAACAGAACACACAGGATGCTGCAGATCGCAAAGCCGATCAGGATCAAGACCCTTCGCCCCACGGTGTCGATAAAATAAACCTGGAAGGGATCGATGAAGAGGAGGAGAGATTGAGGGGGAAAAGAACAAATTTGATTACAGTAGTTATACTGATCTCCTACCTGGCTAGACATTTTGCTGCATGAGGGGAACTTAAGAAACAACATGGTGTCCCTCTCTTCTGCGTCCGGAAGCCAAATAGGTCTGTGATTTTGAATCTTATTTGATTCTTCTTACTTGATGGAATTATTCCTTGAATATTGGCAACAGGATCATGTCCACCCCACCCCCCACCCCGAGGGGAACAGTCTGTCATTTAACTGCTGTGTTTCCCTGTAAAAGACAAGACTTCCGGGGAAAAGTGGAAGGTGGCAGGAAAAGAGGAAGACCCGATACGAGATGGATCGGCTCCATTAAGGAAGCCACAACGTTGAGTTTGCAAGAGGTCAGCAGGGTTGTTGAGGGCGGGACCTTTTGGAGGTCATTCATTCATTCATAGGAACAACCCTAACTTGTAGGTGACTTGATCGTCGATAGAGAACAACCATTTACACATATATAATTTGTGGTTTTAAATCCGTAACTTCAGGTATTTGTATATTCTAGTTTTTACTGGTTTTTTTTTCATGAGAACTGTTCAGCGCTCTGGCTGGGCTGTCTTTAAAATAATGGGATATAAATGGAAGTAAGGAGCGTCATCCTTGCCACAAATACCAGCCACAATTCCTGTCCACAGTTCAGAGCTGTGTCCAAAACTTTTATTAAAACAATCCACTAAGAATGCATTAAAATGCAGTGATCAAAATACAAAACATCCAGGCCTGCATCTGATTCGGAGCAGACGGGGTAGCCGCCCGTGTCACCCTGACACTGCCCCAGCAGAGGGAAAGAAGAGAGGATCCGTCTTCTCTGCTTTTCCTCGGTAGGATGTTGGCTTGAATATTCAGCTCACGCGCGTAAAAGCAGAGGCTCAAGGAAGAAAAAAAAAAAGGCTCTCGACAACCCAGGACATTGGCAGCAACCCAAGGATGGGGAAGGTGTGTGTTTTGAATGGGGGGGGGCCTTTGGAACAGATGGCCACTTGAAACAGAAAGGTAAGAGGATGGGGAAACACTCACCACAAACAACAGTACGATGATGAGAGAAAAAGTGGACGTTATGCTGATATACCGGGCGTCGTATTCAGTGAGCCACATCGTTGCGTAGACTCTCTCCGCATAATAATTCGCCTGAAAGGAGACACCCCCCCCAACAACCAACATAATTACTAGTAATTCCAAGTAACTAGAAATGATTTGGACCTGGGGGGGGGTAAGTACAGACCTCTGTACCTGTAATGAACCTGCATTTCAGCTGCCTTTAATCTTAGAAGGTTGTATAAACCGCTGCCTGAGGAGTTTTGAAAAGTAACTAGTTACTGTCCCACTTCAAAGGCTCACAGACTGCCCCCCCCCACTGTCGAAACTGGACTTAATAAGGGCCAGGATGCTTTTAGGCCACACTCGGCCTGACGCCATTGTAAAAATAGGCTCCGGAGAGAATTACTGTCTTCCTCTCAGAGACCCACGGGATCCCCAGATGTTCTCAGATGACAGCTCCCACAAATCCTGGCCAACACCACAGCTGGTGTTGAAAAGGCTTCTGGGAGTCGTAGTCCAAGGACCTGTGGAGACCCAAGGTGGGGAACCCCATTGCGAGGAGTTTTGAAAAGTAACTAGTTACTGTCCCACTTCAAAGGCTCACAGACTGCCCCCCCCACTGTCGAAACTGGACTTAATAAGGGCCAGGATGCTTTTAGGCCACACTCGGCCTGACGCCATTGTAAAACAAGCTCCGGAGAGAATTACTGTCTCCCTCTCCGAGTTCCCCCAGATGTTCTCAGACAACAGCTACCAGAAATCCTGGCCAGCACCTCAGCCGGTGTTGAAAAGGCTTCTGGGAGTCGTAGTCCAAGGACCTGTGGAGACCCAAGGTGGGGAACCCCATTGCCTTCGACCACGAGGCGACGGGCCGTCCTTACTGCATTGATGCCGGACAACTGCTGGCCTCCCATCAGGATAATGACGGAGATGACCTGCCACCGGAGGCCACGATAGTAAAGGATCTTGAGGCCACCCATCACTTTCTCGGTTTTCTCCACGGCGTCCTCCTGGTACATCTCCTCCAGCTCCTCGTCCACGCTCTCCTGGCATCGTAACCTTTGCAAGGCTGGGCGGGAGGAGACGGTCGAAGAATTGGTGCTTGTGCCAGAAGATCTGGAGATTTTGAAAACAATCCTTCCCTCTCTACTCAAAGCCCTCCAAGGGGGACCTGGCACAACGTCCAGCATTTCGGGCAGACGTGGGTGACGTGGGGACTTCCAGAAGGGGCTGGACAGGAGGTCCCATCGTCCTTTGCTATCAGGTCCATTGTTAAGGGATGATGGGAGAAGCAATTCAGCAACCTAACACAGACTTCAAGTTTCCCTGTCCCTGTTCTAGTTTTAGAAGCAAGGAAAAGCATCTAGCACAAGAACTAGAGTGGTCTTAATTGACTAGATAGGCGCGATATAAATAAAATAAATAATAATAATAACTGTGACACGCGGGACATTTTAATGGCATAATGGGGCTGTCAGCTGTGCTTCTTGGGGGCGCCTGCTTAATTCCTCTTCTCACAAATAACCAAGAGTCCCTTCCACGTTATATACGGGTCAAACGATACAACACAGCTGAAACACCATTAGAAGTGGAGCTGGCTTAAGGGATAAAAGGCATCTGCTGTCCGCTCAGGTTTTCCTGATTCCCTCTGTGGTTCACTGCAATCATTAGAATAAGTGGAAGAGAAATGGATTTTCCCAGGAATAATATATTGTTATAAACTATGCCAGTGGTAATACAAAGTATTTGGAAGTGGTTTGGGTTTGAGAAAGCCATTAAGAGCCATTAACCTTATAAAAGACCCACTCCTTCTTTGTTGATACAGCCAGCCTTTTTTTTTAAAAAACTCTTAAGGGATTAATTATTGAGATTGTTATGATGAGTGCACACACTTCCAAACTGACCCCGGCAAATGTAAAACATCCATTTGAGGCAGCAGTTGGTCATCATCTGCTTTTAACCTTCCTTGATTTCGGACCCTCCAAATGACACTTTAAATCTGGCACCCACAGAAAGCCAGCATACAGATAAGTGATTTAGATTTGGAAATTGTAAATTTTGAATTTTCAGAATTTTGAATTTTGAGAATTTTGAGAATTTTGAGAATTACGAATTTTGAATGTCTTTACCTTGCCTGGCCTTCACTTCATTCCTCTTCTGTATCAGCAGATACCTGGGGCTCTCCGGGAGGCAAGGGAGCACGAGGACTTGAAACAAGGCCAGGAACCCCATGAGGCTCAGCAAAATGGGCCACTCTGTGCAAGAGGACAGAGGCATGAACTGGGATTCCGCCACGAGTCTAGCTACCGGCCAGAAGAAGCCCATCTCCCCCATTTTTACCTTTTTTGTTCCCCAGAATTTCACGAAGGCCGAGGATCTGGGAGAAGAGCATTCCGACAGCAACAAAGACCATGGACACCGATATGACCGTTCCCCTCAGCATTTTGGGAGCTACTTCGCCGAGATACATGGGGACGACACAGGAGAATACACCTGGTCAGGTGTATTTTGAAAAGCGAGAGGGAGGGGGAGAGAGAGTTAGTAATATGCATATAAAGCATGCAAAGCAAGTATAAATGTTTTTAAGCAATGATGGGGACTCTGCTGATTAGAGATCCACAGTTTATACAAAATCATCATCCTAGGGAGGGGCTTTTTTGTAATGAGTGAGACCAATTTGGCCCTCTCACCCAGTTATTGATCAGCTCTGACCAGCAGCAGTAGCTGGCCTAATCCAATCTGGAGATCCCTAATATCCCTATTGATTGGGTCTCCCATCCAATAACTAACCAGGGCCAACCCTGCTTAGCTTCCGAAACTGGCCTGCTCTTTTGGATGATTGCTCTGGTTCCGTATTTTTCTTTTTCCTGCTCACTGCCGCAACATGTGAGCCAGGAGAGAGTGCCTCTGAGGGTGTGCAGAGGCTTTTCCCCTTTGCTAGAGGGTAGCCACAGGTACCTGAGATTATTTATTTATTTAT